GAGGGCCAGCCCACCCTGAACAAAGGCCAATCTATTTCACAGAATGTCCAGAGTTTTCCGGGAGTCAACTTAATTCTATAGTCTCCTGAATATCTCCTTTTGAAATTCTTTATCCTACACTCTAGGGGGATAAGCTTACTCTGTTTGCCACCCATTCCCTCCCTCTAAAAGACAACATTCACTCACGAGAAAGGGAAGAGGAAGGGGCAACCACATACTTCGTCCATCTCCAGCCACCCTCCTCGTGGATTTATTTTAGGTATCTCTTAGCAATTGGCAGGTCAGTATCAGCCCCCAACTAGGTTTGATTCAGGATTTCTCCTGACTCTACAACCGCCCTAAGCCATATGAGGTCGCCACGGATTTGCAGATCGGGACTCTTTTTTTTTTGAGTTGGAGTCTCACTCTGTCACCCAGACTGGAGTGCAGTGGCCGCTCCCGGCCACCACAGCCTCGACCTGCTGGGGGCTCCGATCCTTCCGTCTCAGCCTTCCAAGTAGCTGGAACTACAGGTGTGCGCTCCCACGCCCGGCTAATTTTTGATTTATTGTAGAGATGAGGTCTCACCAAGGGACTCTTGCTTTGCTGTCAAGCAGCATCTCATTCACCTGCACTCACACGTTTCCAACCCGCTCCCCAGTGCCTTAGAGTTGCGATTTTGTCCCCTGTGGCACTACTTGGGCAACTCTGGGAGGTGATCAGGCTCCCTTTCTGCTTCTCAGGGGCAGGCTTAGCAAACTGAACCTGAGTCCTTACCAGTCTGATGGGCGGCACTCCCCTGGCTGGTTCCTGGGCCTCACTGGGCTCCTTTGTACTCCCGGGGTCCTTGCTCCAGTACGCTGGGAGGACTAGTCCCCTACGGATCAGTTGGTCCGCTGGCGCCAGGCAAGGTCACCTCTCCCAGCATCCCAGGAGTCACATCCCAGCGACAAGGGAGATGAAATCACTATCTCCATATCCCAGGCGAGCCCCCTGTGATATGGTAGGACCCTTTGCAGAGAGATGAGACACTGAAGCTTCCTTGCCAGGAAGCAGCATTTATTTGTGCTGGCACTGGCTCAGCGGATTCACATCCAAAGGCTGAGCCCCAAACATAGCGGGGCATTGCCTTATATACTATTCGTTAACTTTTACATTTTAGCTTCTTTGTCTCCCTTACATGGCAATATGCATTTCAATTGGGTATTTTATGGCACAGAGTTGTAACAGGTTTACACACACACACACTTAGACATTGATTACACCACATTATTTCCTCTTTGTTCTGGGAAGTCCCTTACCACAGCCTGAACCGGGTCACTGCTACACTAACCCATTCACTGTCAAGGGAAATGGATCACCATCACTAAAACAAATTAGGATTTCCCATCAGGATATACCTTGAGGTGGCTGTGGGTCGCCTTCCCATGAGTCATGCCAGTGAGGGATGGATGGCTACCTGAACAAGGTCAAGTTCTCATAGCAAAGAGAAAATGGGTCAGCGCAGGGAACCTAGCTGATTAATGGGTGTGTGAGGAGGATGGACAAGACAGGGCAAGCTGAAAAGGGGGAGGGGAAATGTGTACTCGTCCTCATCAACACCTGGAAGCACTTTATTACCTAGACTTGTGGTTGGCAGAATTTTTTTTTTTTTTTGAGTCAGGGTCTCGCTGTCACCCAGGCTAGAGTGCAGCGGCACACTCATGGCCACCACAACCTCGACCTTCTGGATTCAAGTGATCCTTCTTCCTCAGTCTTCCAAGTAGCTGGAAATATAGGTGTGCACCACCACACCCAGACAATTTTTTAATTTATTGTAGAGACAAGATCCTGCCAAGTTGCTCAGACCAAACTCAAACCCCTGAGATCAGGCAATTCTCTCACCTCTGCCTCCCAAAGTGCTGGGATTACAGGCGTGAGCCACCGCGCCAGGCTGTGGTTCCCAGAATTTAGAGCATGGTTGTCAAGTCTGACTGTATCTTGGAATCACCTGGGGAGCTTAAAAAATATTGATGCCTGGGCCTCAGCCCGGAGATTCTGATGTATGGGTTGAAGTCTGGGTATTTTAGCATGCAGCCAAGGTTGAGAGTCACTGGTGAAAATCAACAGTTTGAGTCAGGCGCAGTGCCTGGGCAACTTGGCAAGACCTCATCTCTACAATAAATAAATAAGTAAATTACCTGGGCATGGTAGCACGTGCCTGAAGTTCCAGCTACTTGGAAGGCTGAGATGGAAGAATTGCCTGAGCCCAGCAGGTCGAGGCTGTGGTTGCTGTGGCATGCCACTGCACTTCAGCCTGGACGATAGAGTGAGACTCTGACTCAAAAAAGAGAAAAAGAAAAGAAAAGAAAATCAACAGTTTGGCCAGGTGCAGTAACTCACGCCTGTAATCCCACCACTTTGGGAGAAAGAGGCAAGGGATTGCCTGAACCCACAGGTTCAAGACCAACCTGGGCAACTTGGCGAGACCTCGTCTCTACAATAAATCAAAAAACAAAATTGGCGGGCATGGTGGCTCACGCCTATAATCCCAGCACTTAGGGATGCCGAGGTGAGAGGATTGCCTGAGCTCACAAGTTTGAGACCAACCTGGGGAGCTTGGTGAGACCTCATCTCTACAATAAAAAAAAAAAATTTTAGCCAGGCATAGTGACATGTGCCTGTAGTTCCAGCTACTTGGAAGGCTGAGGCAGAAGGATCACCTGAGCCCAGCAGGTCGAGGCTGCAGAGGCCATGAGCCTTCCACTGCACTCCAGCCTGGGTGACAGAGTGAGACTCAGAATAACCCCCCCACCACAAAAAAATCCACAGTTCCCAAAGTATCATCTAAGGAACCCCAGCCCTCAGAACATGCTACATTGGCTAGAGAAGGTTGAGAATCATTATACACTTTTTCTCTCATGCACAAGAGGCTCTACAGTGCATACTGAGCATGTTAAAAGCTCTGACATTGAGAGACAATGGTGGGAGGATCACTTGATCCCAGGACTTCAAGACCAGCCTGGGAAACATAGTAAGACCTCATCTCTACAGAAAATCAAAAAATTAGCCGGATGTGGTGGCACATGCCTGTAGTCCCAGCTCCTTAGGAGACTGAGGTAGAAAGATCCCCCGAGCCCAGGAAGTTGAGGCTACAGTGAGCTGTGATCGTGCCACTGCTCTCCAGCCTGGACAACAGTGAGACTCCAATTTGAAAAATTAAATTAAAAGTTCTGACAATTTATGGCTAAAGGACCTGTGTAACCTTCTATAACCAAACATTCCCTGCACTTATTTGATCCAGAAAATTGTTTGGGGGTATGACACTTGTTATGGATTGAATTGTGTCCCCTAAAAAGATATGTCAAAGTCCTAAGTCCCAGGACTTTGAAATGTGACCTAATTGGGAAATAGGGTCCTTGCCGATGTAATTAGTAAAATGAGCATACTGGACTAGGGTAGGCTCCTGGTTGAATAGGACTGGTGTCCTGATAAGAAGGGAAGAGACCCATGTGATAACATGGAGTGTTACATCTACAAGCCAAGGACACCAAGACTTGCTGGAAAACATCAGAAGTTGAAAGAGCCAGGTGCAATGGCTCATGCCTATAATCCCAGCATTTTGGGAGGTGGGGACGAGGGGACTGCCTGCACCCAGGGGTTAGAAATCAGCCTGGGCAACTTGGCAAAAGGTCCTCTCTACCATAAATCAAAAGATTATCAGGGCATGGTGCCACACACTTGTAGTTATAGCTACTTGGAAGGCTGAGGTGGAAGAATTACATGAGCCCAGCAGGTCAAGGCTGCCATGGCCATGTGTGTGTCACTACACTCCAGCCTGGGCAACAGAGTGAGATTCCAAGTCAAAAAAAAAAAAAAAGAAGAAGCTGGAAGAGGCAAGTTTTCTCCCTTGGAGCCTTTACAGGGAGCCTGGCTCTGTCAACATTTGATTTAAGATTTACAAGTTCTAGAACTAATACAGAGCCCTGCTAATATCCGTCCATATTGCCACAACCCCTAGAGAAGGGCATGGCAAGTGTTCAAGTGCTCTTGCACATTCCTGAGCACATTGCTGAGAGTCCCCTTGTCTTCTATGCACTTCCAGTAGTAAAGATGCCCAAAGATGTAAATCCCTATTAACTTTTTTTTTTTGAGTTGGAGTCTCACTCTTGCCTGGGCTGGAGTGCAGTAACACGCTCATGGCCACCGCAGCCTTGACCTGCTGGGCTCAGGCCATCCTTCAGCTTCAGCCTTCCAAGTAGCAGAACTACAGGGCACGCCACCACACCCAGCTAATTTTTTGATTTATTGTAGAGACGAGGTCTCACCAAGTTGCCCAGGCTGGTCTTGAACTCCTGAACTCAGGCAATCCTCTGACCTCGGTCTCCCAAAGTGCTGGCATTACAGGCTTGAGCCACCAGGTCCGGCCTTACTCTCTTTCTTAATAGTCATAGGTTGGAACAATAGAGTATCAATGTAATCGTAAGTCTGTGATTTGTATAACTTTTGCATCAATGTAATCATAAGTCATGATTTGCATAACTTATGCAATGCATGATGTCTCAGGCCTTGTAAACTTCCTTTACTCCAAATGTCACTATCTAAATGTAAAATGTGGCTGTAACTTAAGTTCTATACAATGCTCAAGTGGCTGATGTACGTACCGACAACTCTGGATATAAAAGTGAACTGCAAGGCCTGAAGGGTGGGCAGAACCATTTTAGAAGACCTGGAGTCTGGCTCTACTCTCTGATTTGAACTCAGAAATAAACATCTTTCCACCAGTTTTTCTCCTCTCGATTTATTGGCATCAAGTGTTAGCAGCTGAGCATTATTCAGACCATAACATAACTGAGAGGGAAGACATTCCTGTTGTTGTAAGTCTCCTGGTCTGTGACACTTAGTTCCGGCAGCCCTGGGAAAACATACATCTGTGAACATCTCTCAGACAGTTTGGGAAGCTCTGAACTAGAACTGTTCAAAGGCAACCCCCGACTGACCAAAAAGATGAAAACACTAGTCTGTAGAGGTGAATTTTCCCCCCAAACTCCATATAATATTTGTTTTATTTCTAGGAGAAAATACAAGTGGACAAACAGACTCTCATAGCAGTGGCAATTATACATACATCTGTATTATTCTAATTTTTTTTACTTGCTGGACTTACTCTCCTATGGACACAAGGACAATGACCTAGAAAGACTATGGGATCACGGAAGCGAGCCTGAGGCTCTGGGATTCCCCACTCATGAGTGGTGGCGTGTGAACCAACAGCTTAGATCCTGGGTAAAGCCAGTGCTGGTTGAGGGGACAGAGACTTGGACGGTGACTCCGGCTGCTTCCTGGTGCTTCCAGGCCCCTCTCTTTTACACTTAATGCCCAGGAAACTGAGGATTTTCAGCAGCAGCAAATCCACCAGCTCTCCTTCCTCTGACAGCTGCAAGAGAGAAAAACCAAGTGATGTGTAGAGTCATTCTCTTTTTTTTTTTTTTCACTTTTATTTATTTACTTTCCATGAGTTTAAATTCTTGAGGGGTACAGCATTACACGGATTCTGTGTCCAATGGCCTTAGCAGGAAGGTTGCTTCGGAATTTGGCACGAACCATGCCCCTGTTTCCATGGGCCCGAGTTACCTTTCCCCAGATTACTCTGGTTTTGTTTGGTTTGCCGCCAGGAGTCACTGTGCTATTCTTTGCTTTATATACATAAGCACTTCTCTTGCCCAAATAGCATTCAGTTTCATCTCGGGCATAAACACCTTCAGTTTTGAGAAGAGCTGTGTGCTCCCTTTGGTTCCAGAGACCTTGCTTATAGCCAGCAAAAGTGGCTTTGGACCACAGCCTTCCAGACATATTTGCCTCTTAGAAGTTCTGTTCCCAGCAGGCCTCCGCTCCGGCGATCCTTCCGCCTCGGCCTTCCAAGCAGCTGGAACTACAGGCGCGCGCTACCACACCCGGCTAATGTTTTGATTTATTGTAGAGAGGAGGTCTCACCAAGTTGTCCAGGCGGGTCTCGCACCCACGGGCTCAGGCGATCCACTCACCTCAGCCTCCCAAAGGGCGGGATTACAGGCTGAGCCACCGAGCCCGGCTTGGGGCCTTTGCTTCCCAAGGGAAAACCATGGTTTTGAGGCACGTCAGCTAGCACAGCTTCGACATGTGAGAAATAAGAATGGCGATTTATTTTCAAATTGGAGCCTGGCTTATCTTGGGTTTTCTAGACGGTATCTAAATACTTTGTGCTTCTCTCTTGTTGACTCACTTCCTGCTTCTTTTTTTTTTTTTTTTTTTTTGAGTTGGAGTCTCACTCTGTCGCCCAGACTGGAGGGCAGGGGCCGCTCCCGGCCACCGCAGCCTCGACCAGCCGGGCTCCGGCGATCCTTCCGCCTCCGCCTTCCGAGTAGCCGGAATTACAGGCGCGCGCTACCACGCCCGGCTGATTTTTTGATTTATTGTAGAGATGAGGTCTCGCTGCCCAGGCGGGTCTCGAACCCGCGGGCTCAGGCAATCCACTCACCTCAGCCTCCCAAAGGCGCGGGATGACAGGCTGAGCCACCGAGCCCGGCTTTTCCTGCTTCTTTGTGCTTCCTTTGCGTGGGCTTTTTGCTTTGGTGGGCTTCATGTTTAACTTTCGGCGTGAGCCAATCAGAATGATTCTGTAAGCCGATTGGCAAAAAGGACATGCAAATAGAGGATTCTGTCAGCCAATCAAAATGTAGCACGCAGGGGTGGTACAGGAAAGCCTGTTACTTCTGGGATGCTCCGCCCATGAGGAACCAGGAGAGGGATCTGCGTTTTAGAGGTGAGAGTGCCGGTTCTTCCTGCTTCCATGTGCCTGCCCTCCAGACACCCCCATCTTGCAAGTCCGTCATTAAAGTCTCACTCCCAGCCGGGCTCGGTGGCTCAGCCTGTGATCCCGCGCCTTTGGGCAGCTGAGGTGAGTGGATCGCCTGAGCCCGCGGGTTCGAGACCCGCCTGGGCAACTTGACGAGACCTCACCTCTACAGTAAATCAAAAATCAGCCGGGCGTGGTAGCGCGCGCCTTGTAGTTCCAGCTACTCGGAAGGCTGAG